CCCCCCCCCCCCTCCCCCACCCAGTGCGTACGTACTTATTGAATGAGCCCTAAGAGGATCGCCAATTGGTCTGATATGAAAATTATATTGAATTAATATAATATATTAAATGCCTTCTTAACATTTAAATAGAAAATTATTATTATTGCAGTATTTATATTTGAATTAGTATCAAATCATACTATTTGTTGAGTGTAGGTCCAGTTAGCTATAAATATATTAATTATTAATTAAATATAGAATATTCTATAAGAGTTGGTACAACAAGGTAGGTTTTTTATAAATGATGCCATTATAAATTATTGTATATTTTTAACTATTGAGGTTTTAATAAATATGAGAGCTAATGTAATAAAAATTTAAAATATAAGCTATGTTAACTTAATATAATATTGATTATTATTAATAATTATTTTTTATTAGTTAGAGTTAGTTGGGGAAGGGAAGGAAGGGGAGATTATTATTATGGAAAATGTTAATTATGTACAATTAAACTTTTAAAAAATTAAAAATCATAAAAATGATCATTGACATTCTGACGCGTGTTCATTAAATTATATTATAACACATAAAATTTATTATAAGATCAAAATCTGTTTCCTGATAAGTTTTATAAAATATAATTCTTTGATTATGGAGAGCCAATAGAGTATTACTACAAATAGGTTTACCAGTTGATTTATACAGTTGTATTATAATTATTAAATCCATATTTAATCTCTAATAAATTGCAAATATGTAACATGAATATTTATTATAATGGTATAATTATTTGATGGAATAATGTAATGTGTACTATACAGTAGTACTATCCATATAAAATATTTAAGTTTAATATAACATAAAACATGGTCAGTACTAAGTTTTATAAGTATCAATATAAAATTTTCCATAAATATTTGTTATATAATTTACTTATAGATCATTATTTAAATCTAATATTTGCTTTACTATTATTAATTTATCCCATAATCATAGTTATTATTACAATTTCTATACGATATTATATTATTTTCTCAGAAATATTTAGTCGTTTATTAAATTGTTTACAAGTTTTTTTTATAAACTTTTATTATATTTTTCATTTATTATTATAATATAAATAATATTTACTGTTTTGAAAGGTTAAAATTTAATCAAGATAACTGATTTGTTTACTCGAAATAATTGTGAATTAAATATAAACCTATAAAAGTATAAATTATATTAACTTGAAAACAATGTTATACACTTTTGATTTCACATTAAATATAATAGGATTTATATGAATAATTTATATAACTATACTTAATGTTTGAAAGCAATCTATAATATTTATAACAATATTTCCGAGAACTTAATCTTTATTTCCATTTGTTTCCTATATATGTATATCTATAGGTACACTCCTTTACCTGGACTCACATAATTGGTACGGTATTGCCCTCCACTCCCTCATACAGCCAACTGTCATATCGTGGATAAGAAAAAGCATATGAAATATAATAAAAAGTTCATTTTTTATCAGCGTTTTGTTGGGTATGCTTTTATTATCACATGTTCACAAAGCTTTTGAGAACAGTTTGTAGTACTTCTGAGTAATAATAATTAAAAAATATATTTATTCACGACAATAGTCTGTAATAAACGCGAGAAACAAATTTGACGAAAAGTTTTTGTTGTGCGAGAAAATAGTTGAAAATATTCTGCGAATAATAGTCATAAACATAAGTCTAATGATGAATGACATAAACAAATGGTTTTACTCGTTAACACTGAACGAGTTGCACCAGTATATCATGAAACTGGAGGTCGAGAACGAGAAGTTGGTGAAAGAGTTGGACACATCGAGCAAACTGAACAGAATCCTCGAGAATATCGCCAAAAGTACGCAAACGGGGTATTCCCTACTCAGGAGAATCGAGATCAACAAGAATTGCGAGTGTAATGAACACATGAACCAATCGCTCCGGAAGTCACTCAACGAGTCCATCAATGACACCAATCTTCTACTCAAACACTTCCAGATGATATACGCCATGAAAGGGCAGCCTATGGATGAGTGCGAGCCCTCGTCCCACACACCCCCTGTCGACCCCCCAGTGGTTGACATATCGGATGACCACTCGACTCAGTCACCGGTGCCCTTATGTATCAGGAATTCAGTGGAGGATAAGGACTCGTCGACGTCGAGTACATCCCCTCACAGTTCGGGCTACGAGTCCAACGACTACAGCGCCGACAGATCCACACACAGAATACAGGACTTTGTATTCCACCGCAACTATAGCACCGGTACTATCATTAAACAGGAATCTCATTCGCCGACAGCAAACATGTTGTCCACCACTACCTCCTCGGTGTCCGTCATCGACGAAGACATGCCTCAGAATCTATCGAAACGGAAGAGCCCTGAAGTGTTTAGTCCAGCGGTGGTACAGACGACGCCGATTGTCCAGACCTGTCAGCGCAGCACAAGTAGGACCAGTCCTCCCAAGACACACATATCGCTGTCAACAGCCGGTGCTGTGGTGGCCATCGATGGGATGCAACACTTGCCCAACAAATGCAGTGAATGCGACCTCAGCTTTAATCTGAAGCCTAGTCTTGACCAGCATTTGTTGACACACGTCAGCCCAACATTTACGGTGTAAGTGCTAACTCGTTATCTATATGTGTTTTAATTGCCAAATCAAATGGCAATCTAAACTATTCTACTATATCCTGACCCCTACATCCCTTTCCCCTTCGCACGAACCCTTATCAGGCATAACTGTGTTGTGCATTTTACTTATTGCTATTATTTCACATTTATTTCCATTAAAATGTAATGAGCAGTGTTATCTTTAAATAGTTCATATCATATGATTCGTGATTTAATACTTTATACCCTTCAGTGTACCACACATTCGCCTCATACTGTCTACCACTCGAACTGAATCACACTTTGAATGAGTTTATTAGCAAATATAAGTTATATTAAGTGCATAAAAAGTGCACTTTCTATGGGGGAAATAAAGGAACTGTACAATACCATAAATTTCATATCAAGTGCAATGAGAACATTAATATCACATTTCAAACTATTATTACAAAGCAAATCTGATTATTGTATTTGTTATTTGTGCAAATAGTAACTGTGTTCATGTGTACTGTTGAACTAAGTTCTCGGAAATTTTTTAAGGACTTGTGCTCTATGTTAGGGTACAGTACATAGGCTCCTAACTGAGTATTGATCCTTGTCATTTTGTCACATTTTGTTACATATTCTCAGGACAAAGTGTAATAAACACAGGTATTAAACTTGTGTTCATATACCTTATGATAACACATTATTCCCCACTACTGTACTAATCTAAAGGCATACTAATCTAACATATGATTAAATTAAATCATGCAACAATTAGGACATTAATAAATACACATTTAAACCTAATATATATATCTCTTTTCCATTTTCTATAACTTTACAAATAACTGAAAACTAATCTATAATTTTTGGGAAATGTAGTCAAAGGGCAGGCAGAGGAAGACCGGCGAAAAACGACTCGCGAGTACTGCGAGTGACGGACTCCGACCTAAACATCCTCCGTATGAACGATGCGTTTGGGAAACTGCCGGAAGGACTCATCAGTTTGTCGGCGTTGGAGGAGCTGAGGCGCCATAAATTCACGGGCTTTGGCAGATACCGGTGCCCGTGGCCCGACTGCGGCTATACCCCGCACTTCCTGCGCGATTTGCGTCGACATATGTTTAAACACACCGGCGATAAGAAATACAA